TTCTCAAGATCAAGTTTCTTGTGTAGAGTTAGAACACCTCTAAGGAGTGAAGGCCAGCGTAAAATTATAACAAATAAACTATTTCTTCCTCCTATGGCGCGACGGACCGAACTCGAGTCTTGGTCTCCAAATAAACCAAAGTGAGGTCATAATATCAGGACCATACGTTAATACCATTTACCAGGAAGATCTGGCCTCTGTTCTTCACAAAGTAACATTTACATTTGTTGTGTTATTTCTCAATTGGCACCTCGTAAATGTTACAAGCAATTCCGGGTGTTTAAATGAACACCGCGTCCTAATGCAGACAACGGGAGTTTCTTCTCAAAGGAACACAGGATTTTAGTCGCCTTATCTTCAATTTCAGCTGCACTCAGAAGGGACACTGTAATGCCCGAATGAAGTCGATAATCTGCCTCGGAGAGACATTTTATTTGGACAGCGTGTACCGTCTTGCCGGGATCTGAGACTCGAATCGGAATTACAATAACTTGTTTGTGCAAATCTACGGTTTTCTTCGAGATCAAATGGTTCTGACCAAACAAATCCACGTTGATAAAAAAGAGCCATTACACTACATGTTTCTCTTTTGCTCTGCTCCATTTCTAAAGAAAGTAAAAGTACGATGGCCAAAACGAACCTAAAACTTGACTTCTCGAAGATAATGCGTGTGGAAGTGGGGGGGGGGGGGGGGGGGGGAGATGATGAAGGGCGAACCGGAAGTTTCTTGGCCGGAACTTCCAGACGTTGTGAAGCTGCTGTTGGCAGGGTCCCGGACCAGATGAAGATCGATTTTTCGATGAAGTCCGCTCTGGAGTCGGAAAAGCGACCGACCAAGGTTTAACAGACTGGTCCATGGGGAGATGAACTGCATTGCTTGCTGAAGCGATCTAGATGCCGAGATTCGTGGCGCAACAAATGCATTCCTTTGATCCTGCTTCGTACCGTTCCTGAAATCCCATCGAACTAAGCAGGCGTGATAATTTTTAACGAAATTCTCGCCTGAGACATTACCAGTTTACAGACAATTATATAACATTTCCTCAGTTGTGTACAGTGACTTAAGTTTCACGTTAGCTTGTAAACTTTCATGTCGAGTGGTCACTCGGTTAACAAATGCTTTCGATTAATGATATATCGATTTACGATCCTCCTCCCATAGGGTCCCATTGTTTTAATTAGCGAAACGTCTTCGATTACGAAGTTTATTATACAACAGGTCCCCATTTTCGGCCAATCGGAGCTCTCCTAGATGGACTCAGCAGGCTTTATGAACGTTCGGAGCTGAGCTGCCCTACCTTCCAGTGTTTGTGGGTTGCTTGTGGGTAACAGTTCTCTTGCCCTTAACATATTTTTCCCGTTTTCAAATAATGATATAATTTCAATTAACGATGGTGTTCGTGCAACCAATTATTATCGTATCACATGGATCAGAGAGAGAGAGGAGAGAGGCTGAGAGAGTTTCCTTTGTTATTGTTATTGATGTGTACTTTCGCATTCAGATACTTCTCAGCTTGCAAAAAGATGGTCTGTAATCAGAAAAGGCGTGTTCTGTTGCTTTAATGTTAAATTATTCTCTTTTGAAACAAATTGTTTATTTCGTAAAAAAATATGAAAAATTCAGGAGTTTCCCATTTTGATGTCCAGAACCGACCCCCCCCCCCCCCCCCACTGGAACCCCCTGGTGTCCTACGGATTGACGCTGTATTTATTAAAGACTGTTTTTTGCCATAGATAAAGCTAACCATTCCCCACACGCAAGCTCTCGTTTTGAAGACGTGTGGACCGTTGGAGTACAACTACGTTTATCCGTTCCATCGGAACTAAATGCTTGTGCTCTGTCGGCATTTAAACCCTTTATCCACTGAACGAGACTGAGCGGGACGAAAAATAAACAAGTGACTGGAGAAAATAGTCGTTAATCACAGATTAAAATGATTCTGCCACGATCATTTTATACTCAAAATGTGCACTGAGACTCCAAATGAATCTATACTTGTCTGTAGCTTGTTTCATGCAGATGAATAAGATAATTTAACGGAGACTTTGTTGCACAAAGTCGCGCGTGATAGCAGCGAAGAACATTGGAACCAACAACGGGAAAGCTGCTTGCCAACAGCGCCACAGTCGGGGGGTCAGGCCTGCGGAGCACTCGGGAAACAACGAACCGAGCAAAGAACGGACATGACGTAACAAGATTTGAGTAAAACTAAGGGAAAGCCAGGCCCGGGGGCTGGGCCTATGTCTCAAAGATGTGAACTCTTCGGCCCCAACCTTCCTGGTTCCAAGCACTATTAGAATTATTCTGTAATGCAGATTAAATCGTTGTAATGTGGGTATTAATCATCTATCATCGTTCCATTGATAATTAGGTATAATAATCTGACGCATAACAAACTGTTTGCACCACCTGCAGTTTGCCCACAGCGAGTGTGTGTGGATTCAGCATCGTTCTCAGATTAAGTAGTCTGCTTCTATTCATGCAGATAACGCTGTGTTTTGTTTGAAGCAGCATCTGATTTACAAATATTTAGGTTTAGATGTTATTTTGGTATTGTCTTACAACGAATGATTTCCGTTTTTTAAAAATTATATCCGAAGTGACAATTCTTTTCTGAGACATAGGTTGCCGTTCCTTCTGCCACAGATGGTCCCATTACCAGCATTGATTTCGCCCGTAGCAGTGGGATACGTGCTGACACGTTTTGAATAGGGAGTGACCCATAGAGGGAACTCAAACTTCGGACTATTTTCCTGGATCAGCGGTGGGATATACTCACAAAAGCACACATACATATATACAGGTGCATATATAAGCCTGTTTAAGTTACAAACACACATATACTGACACAACATACACGCATGCAGAGGCCCACTCTCTGTCTCTAAGTACAAATGACACTGCCCCCCAAACTTATCTATGTGATTGTCCTACTTCCACGAATGCTAAAAGGTTTCACGTCAGCGACAAGTTACTTAAGTCCAAAAACGTATTAGATAAACGAAAATGAAAGAAGTTGCATTTCATACAATATTACAGAATTTGTAAGAATGACCCGAGAATTATAACAAAGAAACTCGACTCAAATATCGCTTCTTACTTGAAACGGTTCCGACACAATCCCCCTTCTGTTAGACTACCCTGGAAATATCAGATTTCAAAGCCTATTTTAAGGGCAATTTAACTCTGCTCCAGCATGCCTTTTCAAGTTCAATGAAACATAAATCAGTGCATTTCTGAGAACTAAGCTAGATTTTGCCTGGACAGTCAACTCTGATTCCAGTTAAGACTTTGTCATGAATCCGTCACAAAATAATCCAAGATTTCTGTCTTCTGGGTCGTTGCGCCGTGTAGTGATGTTTACCAACGTTTCAGAGGTCATACTGCCTCCGTCATCAGGGCGATGAATGAGCCATCTACCAGACTACACAGCGCAACACCCCAGAAGACAGAAATCGTCATACTCTGATGACGGAGGCAGTATGACCTCTGAAACGTTGGTTAACATCGACCAGACTACACAGCGCAACAACCCAGAAGCCAGAAATCTTCATACTCACGGCTGTGAAAACCTCAAATCTTACAAATGCTTTCTTGTCTGTGCGTCCGTTCATTTTCAAATTAGATTACCTTTATTAAACTCTGAAGGTATTTCCACTCTTATGGTTTTGCTGCCACAAATTGTGGAGGAAATTATGGCGCGTACTAAGGAACTGGTTAGATTCTGTAGATGCCTTTTGTTAAAAAAGCAAAAAAATTGGACTGTTACAGAGGTTCAGTCAATGTCAATTTCTGTCATGAGTTGCCTTCTCGTACGTAGAGCACACAAGAACATGAAACGTTTTAAGCAGAATGTTAATGCATTTAATAGAATTTTTTACTGTAATCTTCTGCGAAATTTATATAATATAAAACTCTTTATTATTTTTAGCATATAATAATATAACGTAATTCGTTTTATATATGAGAATGACATGTAAGCCTCCCGGATTAAGATCTGGGAGTATTTACACTGAAAACGTATTTTGTACATATTCAAACAACTCTTTCCATAATCACTGTAGCATTTTCGGGTGCCTGGATCCAGTAACGCCTCGCTCTACGAATGATTCAAATGACGAGATTTCGCATTAATGCACTTGATGAAAAATAGTCCAGGACGTATAACGAAGTTGTTTACTGTAATGGTAGAATTTGTAAGGATTTTTAAGCAATGAAACAAGCAGCGGAAATACCATTAAATCAGAAAGGTAAAAATAACAACGTTATGGACAGAGATTCGTTAAAGGCAGAATTAAAAAAGGCATTCGGAACAATAAATTGTTCAAATGAAAAGACACTCTAGAACCAAATTTAGGAGTGAAGATTTCAGTCTCGTGTAGTCTCTAGAAGTTCAGCGATGTTTCGGAGGTGCTTACCGGTGCAACGTCCCAGAAGACACTCATTTCGATACTAACGCCGCTGTGAGAACTTGTTATTTTAGAAATTCAAAAAGTGATATAGCAAGATCCATGCACGAGACATAAAATTAACGAGAAGAAATTAATTTAAAATATTTTAAGTAGTAGCCCGAAAGCCACAACTCTTCAAGTGCACAGAATTCAGGGCAGTGGTTAATTTTCTAACTGTACGAACATAGGACGTAAGATCTTGACAGAAATCCTGTGTCGTACGCGTAACGCAGTGTAGCATAATTTACACATTACAGCACTCGGTAAGCTCGGCCTGTCTGAGGTGTGAGGTTCTTACGGTGGTGATGATTATGTATATTTTGGTCTTACGCATTTTAATGCAATGCAGTTTTATAGGTTTATTACAACCACACAGGTTACAGAGAATATTTACCGTCAAATTTTTCAAACCGATATTTTAAAATTTAAAATAGAAACATTATAGTAACAAAAACGACAAACATCTATAATCAGAACTACAAGCATATAGAAAAGTTCTTCAGACCAATAGAGAGCATATTCATGAGCTGGCCGTCCTCTTATAGCAAATCGAGCACGAAAATATGGAAAAGGACTTTAGTGATAGGTAAGAATGGTTTGAATGACAAATTTGCGTTGACTCAGTGCCTTCTTGCTGAACACCGAAGTGCTAACGGGAGAAGGATTTATAAGACAGATTCACAGAATAGCAGACTGTCATCCAGTGGGGTATGATGGGGAATATGACAACGCAACCCACACTACACATCCTTCAATTAGCAAATTGAAATTCGTCGTGTACTAACATGCCTGGTAAGAAGATTTAGTATTGCCAACAGGATACAGTTTGTTAATCAGACAGAGCGAGAAAAACACGTGGATCCAAATACAGCCAATGCTATAATGTCCTTAAGCTCCCACCGTTTCTCTTCGGAACACAAGCACGTCAGTTCCGGGTAACTCGGTTTGACACGCATTGTTCCTGAAACAACAAACGGATCAAACAGGACGAGACAAAGGCAATGCTAGGAATAAACGCGACGGAATCATCAGTCACCAGAGGATAAATGGGCGCGAAAGAATGAAAAACAGAAACGAAGCGCAATTTCGGAACGAGTTGGGTAAAATTCGCTGCTCTGCTTTGATAAGTTGCTCTTATTCACTGTGTGCAAATATCACATGACAACACGCGAGACGAACAGTTGACGTAAATCTGTGCTTTAGGCCTACATCATTTGTATTGCGTGATCAGATGGGAAGTGTAGTGGGGACGCCGTCGAGTATTTGCGACGGCGGGATGAATAATGAGACCTGAGACGGGAATAAGATACACTTCGTTGTGGGACAATATCAAGTTAAGAGTGGCGTGCTGTAATAGGGAGGAGGCTGTTCCTGGCAAGATTGATGTCTGCTCTGGTTTATGCTCAGATCCCAGCGCGCTCCGGGTGTTTCGGTGGCTCTCAGAGTTGAGTACTGCTATTACTCCAACAGCCATGAGCCTGCAAATAACAGGCACTGAATTGCCAACTGTTAATTTGTATGCTGAGATGGGATTCATTTGTTTACTACGACGCAATGCGCCTTCCGTAATCTATTCCCTTCCCCGTGACGAATGAAGTTGTTGGACATAAGAAACACGTCTAAAATTTTAGTTGTAAAAACTGAGGGGGAAGACATTTTTTGTTGGTATGGAAATGAGGCATTAAATTGAATCGGGATTTCAAAGAAGCAGGATGTGGGAATGCGGACTGCAATCGGCTGTCTGCTCGCCCTGAATAGAGAGTTCTGTGGCTTCCTCCTGTGAGAACCGTAATTAAAATCTCATGTGGGATCTGAGGTTATCAGGACTGTGAAGACATCGGTAGCGTTAATCTGGACGATGTGGTCACGTGGTCTTCTAGGTGGCTACCGAACTCTGACTGAACCTGTGAGAAACTTGCGTGGATATAAACAAAAACGCATTTGGCATCCATAGCAATCACTGACATGTAAAGGATTACGCTTAGAATAGTCATTAATAGCGTTTATGTCAAAGCGAAAACTTGCCAACATTTTTAAGTATACTCGCGGCCATCTTGTTAGGCGTTCTTTGCACGATCTGCTTAAAATGAACATATGTACGTCTGAACCTGTCTTAGCAACCGCATGTGTCAACTCCAAAACACCTAGACCTATTTTGGTTAAATTTGGTATGGACGTTAAGCCATTTCAGGACACTCAAACCTCGTACTTTAGTTTAATCAGCGACAAAAACAAGGATTACCTATGACATCAGAGAAAACTTATCGATACTTTATTGACTATAGAGTGCTAAAATGGTGCATGATACTTTACCGTTGAAAAACAGAGCCTTCCGTGAAGGTCCTTTTTGTATAAGTAAAACATCATGGCGTACGTGCGAAAGTTGTAATTGATTTTCACCTTAACTGAGATAACTAATGAAATATTGGGGCTAGGATTAAGAACTCTGCACGGAGGCAGATCCTAACCTAACCTGTAAATTGCGCATCAACTGCAAAACTTTGAGTGTGTACTGACGAAGTGTAAAGCAGAGAGAATAGATTCTTCGAAAAAGTATAACAACAAATTAGAGGAGATGTAGGCAAATAATTCACACAATTCAAGAAAAATGTTGAGACTTATATCATATAAATACGGCGAGTTAATTTCGCAGATTATTTTGTGTGATTTGTGATAATGAACATTTCTGAAGATAAGGCTTATATTAGCGTCCTTAATGGTGCAGTCGTTATTAAACCGCACTTACCACGGTTCAATACATCGTGTTCGAATGAGTTTTATTTTTTGTGCTGAGAGTGAAATCGCTAATCCAGAAGTTTAGCGTAACAACGATTCCGATGGAGAATTGGGGGCAACAGAAAATGCACGATATTCGTTAGCAGTAACCGTTATTACCTGTCACGCTCAAATTGTTCTTTATTTTTGCACTCTAGCGATGTTATTTGGAAACCGAGAGACCGGAAAACGTTTCCGTGTATTATATCGAAGTAGGACTCATCCTATTGAGAATAAAATACACTCATAAAGCAGCGGGAACTTGCATTGCCAAAGGAAAAAATTCAGTTCAGAAAATATGGCAAGTTTTCTATTTGAACGAAAAACAAATATCAACTGCTGATACTTTAGTAAAGTTTACATTTAATGCATATGGAATATACGTACTTAACTAGGTCAGAGAAACCTAATGTCCCACGTGCCACATCGCACGACCTTTTTCATTGCTTAGGTCGTACCAAAGAATCAGCAGACGACAGTAACGAGTCAGAATGACTTTCAAGACGAAATTAAGAGCAGATTAAATTCGGGAAATGCTTCTCAGTGCAAAATCTTTTGTCCTCCCGTCTGATTTCTAAGAACCTGAAAATTAAAGTATACAAAACAATAATCTTGCCTGTTGATTTGTATGGGTGCGAAACTTGGTCTCTCACTTTGAGGGAGGAACATAGATTGAGGGTCTTTGAGAACAGTATTTTGAGGGAGATATTAAGACCTGAAAGGGAGGAGGACGGATCATGGAGAAAATTGCATAATAACGAGCTTCACCGCCTGTGCTCCTCTCCTGATATTGTCAGGGCGATTAAATCGAGGAGGATGGGAGGCCTGAGGGGAGGAGACCGCTGGGAAGACCTAGGATAACATTAAGATGGAGTTTAGGGAGACAGGAATCGATGGAGCGAACTGGACGCAGCTGGCTCAGGATAGAGTCCGGTGGCGGGCTTTTGTCAGAACGGAGATGAACCTTCGGGTTCCATAAACAACGTGACATATTCATTGACAAATCGAGTATATACTGATCGACTTTTCGAAGAATTTCCTGCACCATAGAGTGAGTGGGTGTTGTCGGACAAATCATCCGAACATCCAGGCACAAACCGCACTTGGTTTTCTTATTGTCTTTTCAACGAATGGTTTGTTGTGGTACTTTCGTTCCTTTGTAATCATTTCTGCACGGCTTACGCGAGATTTGAGGTTTTCAAGACGGCGCGGATGATTTAAAAGATCTGGGTTTTCCTCAAATGCAGATGCCAACGGCGGTAAGGATGATAATTTTTTTTTTGTTTTGGCGCCGTGTAGACTCGTGGAGAGACGCCAATGGCGGCGGGGGTGGTGATGACTTTCTGGATTTCGGCTGATGCCTTACAGACGGAGACAATACAATTTTCCGAAACTTTAGATCGACCGACGAGCCGACATGCCACCAAATCCCAGGAGAACAACCGAAATTGTATTGAATATTTTGACCATTTTGTTCGTGTCACAAGATCATTCGCGTTAGATCTCGGACGGGCATACCAGAAACCTAAACCTGGTTATCCGAGCCAGAGAAAATTACGTCGCCTCGCTCTACACAGAATCTTCAGGCATTTTATGAAATATTCAGGGACCAGCGAACACTATCTTTCGTTGGCATTTTCGCAAGATGAGCGCGGTGGCACGTGATGAAATATCGTACACTCATCAGTAATGCACATGCTTCATTACAAACTGAACAAAATATGCAACAAATAGCTCTCGAGTTAAAGGCTTAGATCTTTCGAAGACTTCCAGAAAGCAGCAGGAGAGAACAATCCGGATGTTGGAGCGCTGTTGTCTAGAACAGGAAATACGTGACACGCAGTTATAGCTGATTCCATCCACAATTCCTGCTCCTTCCACTCACGGTCCATAGAAAAGAGTTAATTGATTTTGTAATTAAGAAATATTGCTCGAGCCGATTTTGAAAGAGGCAGATCCTCGTTTCTGTCGAAATTATAACTACGTATCCACACAAACAAGCATTTGGGACTTTTTTTAAAAATGTAGAACAGGAGACGAGAGACGAAGAGACGCGGAAGAGGTTGTAGGTCACCAAGAGGCCTGAGAACGTAGTTAGAAGAGTCAAGCCTGAAAAGGGAAATTCTCTGATAATGAACAAGAAGGGAAATGGATACAGTGCGTTTTATGTGAGTATTAGTGCCATGAAGGATATAAGAGAAAGAAGGGAAATGGATACAGTGCGTTATATGTGAGTATCAGTGCCATGAAGGATATAAGGAGGCTGAGAATGCTGAATTAAGCTACTGAAGCCAAAGTTCATCTTAAAATTTAGAAATTGAACCCGTGTCTCAAAGAAAGCTCAACCCATAATTGCTATAAAATCAATCACTTTGTGCTGTTTACTCCGACAGTAATACGAAATTCATAAATGCTCTCTCTGGGCGAAATGCAAAGCTGTTGATTGATAAAGCAGGCGGAACAAAATTTTATCATTAGGCTAAAAAGGGTATTTGATTATTTTTTGTACAGAGAGCTAGTTACCAGGCGAACTGTCGTTGTCCACTTGAAGCTAAAATAAATTACCCGTTTAAAATTTACCAAGATTACTATCGTGTATTTAATCTATTTGTTTACAATTTCCTGGCTGTTTTGGCGGTCATGAACATGCTGTAGAATATTGTTGGTCCATTGTACGGTCACCAATTCAGTTTGGGCTTTGTAACTTCGTTAACTCATTCCCATCTTGCACGTTTGTTTCTTTGTGATCACAACTTTCTCGCTTCGCTTCGCTTCGTAATCCCACCCCCACTTTCTTTTATACGCCTACTTTTTCATGCCCTTGTATTAATACATTCGAGCTTCTTCGGGTCACAAAATATTTTTTGCTAGAATAAGTTTGAACGAAGCATTCAGGCGCATCCGTACCAAAACGTTTAAAATACGAAATCGTATCAGAAAATTCCCTCTCTCGAATACACGTAGAAAATCTACGTACAGTTACTTTATTCTTAAGACTTGAGTCGCTTTTCTCACAATCTGATAACGCTGTTGCTGAGTAGCCTGCTCATGTATTTTAAACCGGCAAATATTGACGAAACGATGAGCGCTGAAAGCGACCATAGCGGATGAAAGATTAACTAACACATGTGCTTCATATTCGGGAGGTACCGGGTTCAAGTCTCTACCCGCAGACCGCCTATCATG